GCACTTATGAATAGATCAATGTCGTTACGGCTATTGCAGAATTAACATCACAAATTATTTTTAAGTATGGTTAAATATTATTTGATGATTTCTATTTTTTAATTTTGAAATGTTTTTGTCATGTTGAGTTTTTTTATATTATGGACTCCTTCATGGCTGATATTTAATTTTGCATTCCATATTATACAAATTGCTTGTAAGCAGGGATGTGAACCCTTCGACAAAAAAAAGGGTCCAAGTCTGGATTCGAGTACAAGAATAAAATTTGAAAGGTCCAGGGCTCGGGTTCAAGGAACATAAAAATAATGACTCAAAATAAGATTTTTTTTTCATTCATTTATTATTATAGTTGAATATATACATATTCTTAATTTACTAATGAAAAATTTTAAAATGAAATAATATATATTTTAAATGGTGTATTCTAGCACAATCATAATATCTTCTAAAATATCATCCTTGCAATTTCCAAGTAAAGTAGACAATATATATTTCAAAGATGAAAATTCACGTTCTACCCATACCTAAAATAGATAGTTATCTTTATAAAATTATTGTACTTGTGTCACCAGTACAGTATGAAGATTCTAGATATATAATTCTGGATATATTGAAAAATTTTCTTTACAGAATTTTAAAATATTTATATCCTTATTTATTCTCTTAACTTCTGAGAACTTTTTAAAGATACAATAGGCATTTTTTGATCCTCCTTTCTGTCTAATGATAATTTGATTTTTCTCTATCTAAAAGTAAAATTTCAGGATCATCAATGTTGCTATCACCAATCGGTATTTTCGTAGCCTCCAATATATTGTAAATAATGTTGTTTTGCTTATGCCATAAATCCTTAAGATGGTCTTTAGCTATTTGTTTTTCTCAATACTCAATAAAACTTGATATCGAGGGTCTAAATATATAGAAGCGTATACACTATTTTGCAAATATTGTTGCTCTAGAATTTTCATGTTTTCTAATATTTCGTATAAAAAGGACTGTAAATTTTTCTAAATCTAATCCTTATGCCTTAAAATCAAATAAACATAATTGTTCTGATTGTAATCTTAATAGTGTTAATTAAAGGAACTAATACACTAGTAAGGTCCTTTATTTGGCACCAATCATCTTCCGACAAAATGACTTCACATGCTCCTATAATAAAATCATTACAGAAATCTTTCAAACTTAATCGTTCTAAAATCATACAAATTGAGGACCAACGTTCATTTAAATTAAAATATTATTACTTGTACTACAAAATAATTCACTTTCAAAATAATCAACGTATTTCTTAACATAGCATATAAATAAATTTACATAATAAAATATTATTACATTAGAAAAATATTTATGATATCAATCTCTAAATATCCAAGAAGAAAATTGAAAGAAAAATGCGAAGTTAAAAATATTTTTATTTATAAAAATTTTTATGGCACCTAGAACCTTTGGCCTACCACTTTTAAAAAGGGTCCGTGTTCGGGTTCAGCCAAAATACGAGGGTTCAGGGTCCGTTCACATCCCTGCTTGTAAGCTACATTCTTTATCTTCTTTGACACATTAATATCCAGTTATTTTGATATTGCGCTTTAAAAAATTTTTGGATTATAAACTTGTCTTAAACTATAATTTATTTTGTTTTTACTTTCTCAAAATATGGATATAAAGTTAAACAAATTCAAGATGCCTTTTTAAATATATGATTGAATTTAAATAAAAATGATAGCCTAAGTTTCTAGTTAAGCCATTTTTAATTATTTTTATTTAAAAAATCAGAATATTTTAGGAAAATAGGGAAAAGCGTAAATCATAGATGGCGTGTTTTGGCGTAAACTAAAGTAAAAAATCGGGAAATTATGCCAAAAGCGAAAGATCTGGCAACCCTGCATATGTTTAATTAGATAATTTTTAAACATTAGATGGGCGGGCGGGTAAATATTTTTAATAAATTAATAATTGGCCGCTAAAATTCAAAGCGAGAGGGCGGACTTTTTGGATAAAACCCGCCTATTGCTGACCTCTGACAAATTTCAACCGGCTGTGTAATAAAGGGTTAAAAAATATTATAATTCTTCTGATGTTTATATTTCTGGAAAATATCATGATTAAATTTATATCAAATATTCTGTATACTACAAAAAAATGAGTAAAAGTTAGTTTAATGGCATTATTGAAGCATTTGAGGCTATAGTTGAAACCAATAGTAGGTGAAATGATAGATGTTTCTAAAAATGCTAAAGATTTATGTGCATCAATTTCCCAAGCCCTATTTATTATTTCAATTATTTTAAAACATTGATTTCACTATAGCCATAGGGCTTCGTAAATTATTTAAAGCTGAAACAAATGCTAAATATTTGCCAAGCTATCTTTAAAAGTTGGTTTAATTTGGGTCATAAAATATGACGGGTTCACTTTAAAACCAATAGTTAATATTACTGTGCGTTATCATAATAGTTCAGAAAAAGCCCATCAAACGGGGATAAAAAGATCACGATAAATCATTAAGGTCCATCCACGTTTATTTTGCAGGCCAGTTACCTGTGCATGCAATAGGCAAAGTCGCTTACTTAAACGCCCATGATAAGACTGGTAAAAACCCCATACCCAATTAAACAAGTTTTGATTATGAAGGGGTTTTGCTAATTTTACTCTTATTTAGCATTGTGAGAACCTACAACAAAAACATAAAAATAACAATCACTTATAAATAAACCTAGTTCTTTTACCCACACTTTGAAGATTCAAAATCTATTCGCACTGGTAAACTATATTAATTTTCTTTTTTATGTATGTGTAATAAAACTTTCGATAATATAAAGTGAATGTTATAAATATTAATTTTTATAACTTTATTAATAACAATATCTCAATATAAATTTATTCTAAACGTTGTTCTTAACTTTTTATTACTCAATCAACAGTTGATTGCTCTTATATTATTTTATATTTAAACATTGAAATTTTTTTTATAATGAATTGGAGATATGAGCAGTTAAAATCAGATATTGATGACTGGTATTAAGATTTGAAGTATACCTGGATCAAAGCATCCCAGCTAATTTTATTGACAATATTATTTTACTCTATCGTAAGTTTCATAACTGGACTAAAAATCAGGCGGCTTTCGAATTAAATTTTTTAATACTAGTTACCATTCCTATAACTATATGTATGAATTAATGATTATTTTACATTGGCCACACTAAAATACTATTTAAAGGTTCCTTGGGCCAGGCTAGAACGTAGGAATAGAGATCAATCCCACTCCAGATGAAGTCATTGAAGAAATGGCTTAAAGACCACAGTATTAAATAAATAGATAGGCACATTATCTTACATAAAATTGAATTATAATAAATTTTTTATCATTACCATCAAAATTTATAATTTTTTTACCAAGAGTAAACTGAAAAAAATTTGAAAGATAGTTTTTTGGTGCAGATAAAAAGTTATTGCTGAACTTTTTCAGCCATATTAATCGAACTAGAATATTAAAATGGAATATCTTATTTCATCATAAATTAAATTTTCGAGTATAGGCTTTTATTTTTGCCCAATTTTTTTAGCCTATGGACATTTAAATAACAGTTCTCGGACTGTTATATGTACAACTACATGCAGTTTGCCCACAATAAGCAAACATGAGTTATTTTTATCAATAGAAAGAAAATTGTTAGATATTAAAAAACTAATATTGATTGTAATAAAAATATATCCTTAATTTATGAAATTTAAAGCCAGTGTAAAGATTTAATAAAACATTTAAAATTTTATCAAAAATCTTTCTTTCAAAATACTAATTAGTGTAATATATCATTAATAAACCAAATCTTATTAGTATTAAAAATAATCGATAGATTTAAATAAATTGATTTTTTCATTCAAAAAAGACTAGGATGCTCCTTTAATCTCACATTATTAAATACATCAGTTCGAACTGACTCTTTGTGGAAAACCCAACATAATAGTATATGCAAGTTCTGGCTATGAAGGATGGAAGACATCCACAGTTCCATTCTCAGCTCATGGCTGGTGAACATCAATGCATACACATAGTTCTCCCACCTTGGCTGTAAAGCAGTTGTACTTTTCATATCAATTGTGGCCAGTCCATATAGGTTACCATCACTCGCACTTTTCACAAGCTAGAGCCCCATCAAATCAATTAACATTCTCCTAGTTACTCTCAAACAGTAATATCCTATCCACTTTCAAACCAATGGATATATAAATGAATATGCTCTATCTCTTACGTGGACAACTTCTGTTGACCTCTAAACTTGTGTCAATTTTCTGGCAAAAATCCTTAAACAAATATGTTGGCCTGACAACTGTTCATCCCAGACATTAATTCTATTAAAACCATAGGTAAATAAATGGAAAAAGAGTACAAGAAACTTTAACAAAAGATTTTACCTTTTATCAGCATATTTCTCTTGAAATCTGCTGGTCCAATTTCCTAAGCATTTATTCCTCCCAGTTCTTTTTAATGTTTTTAATATCAAATTTATATTATTTTTTTCATATAATTTTTAAATTCTTTTTTTAAAATACATTTTATTTACATATATTTTATTTCTAAATTGAAATTTAAAATTATTGACAAATAAAAACTAAAATGATTTTGATAATTATTTCAGAAGTCTTAAAAAATATTGGAAGAATGTATTGTTCTAGATCCATATCTTGAGAAATTTGTTTCTGAAACAAACCTCCCAGAAACATTAGCTTAGGAAATAAGGTATGTACAAAATTTTTAAACAATAACAATCAACCCCAGTGATTTGTTTTGGCTAATATGGATACCAATAAGGTACAATTAATAACAAACAATTATATTATATGTACTTATTTAGTATAAATTATCAATATTAGCATTTTCGAAATTTATTTAATAAATAAAATAAAAAGTAATGAGGAAAAAATAAGCCTTTCTTAATCATCAATATTAATACAAACTTACATATTTACAAATATTTAAAGGGTATATTTTCCTTCCAAATACTTTTAATTTATTCCAAAACATCCTTTGTTTAAATTTATGATTTAATAGCATCAAAATAAGTTATTTGGATAAATTGGATATATTTTAATAGATAAAAATTATAAATATTTTATTCAATTATTTAAGATATTAAATAAAAATTAATATAAACGTTGAGCTGGACCCATTGTACTTTTGATATATAATGCTCTAATATTTTGCCAGCCCTTTTTTAAAAGTGAAATTAAAAAATTTATAGCAAGGTTAATGTTTGAAGCTAGTTCTTCTTGAGGCATGTTAATATTTCCTATTGCAAGAGCTAAACATAAAACCTATATTTATATGTATTTAATATTCAGAAATGACTAAAAAAAAACTTTTTTCATTTGAAATTTGATGGTTGATTTAACTTCTTCAGATTTTGCAACCATGGATTCTCCATGGGTTAAAACTGTAGGAAATTTACCAGCTTTATTTAACCCAGGTCCAAGAATTCTTGGAATCTGCTTGATCAAAGAATCAGAAGCTAAAAAGGCATCATATTTTTTGGCTAAATAAAAATGTATATATTGATTAAATAATATATCAGATATTTTGTTTTTATTCACAATAATCAAGAGTAGCAAATTTGAAGTCATCATTTAATGTATAATTACCTAATTGTTTTACCAATTTTTTGTTTTTATTCAACTTTTTTAATGCTTCAGCATCCATAAATGGTATTCCATTAGCCTTAGCCTCGTCACAATGTTGTTGATCACCCAACACACAAATTGAAAATTTTGGTCTTGGAGAATATTTTACTCTATAATATAAAAATATTTCAAGACATTTATGTAGCTCACATACTTTATAGTTCCTGAAAATCTTTTATCCTTTTGAGGATCATAATTTTTTAAAGCTATTTGTAATTCAACAGTTTCAACAAAGTTTCTTTTTTTCTCTTGTGATTTAGCCAACAATGCAACAATTGCTTCGTTCAATGTGTCTTTGGATATTTTACTATAAAATGTTAATAAGAATTATTTATGGATTAAAATGCGAGGTACCTTGACATATCGGAAAAGAAATATGGTTATGGTAAATATATCTCCACGAACAATTTTAACGATACGAAATTTAATATTTATTATTATATTAAATTTAAATGCCAGATTTTTTTAATATTGATAAAAATAAAAATCAATATGGAACTGATCAAGGTTTGAGTACCGCAAATACTTGTATCTTAACTATAAGATATATATGTGTCTAGTATCTTTGGTTTGGAAGAGTCTCCTGTATATGCCTCTTAAATACTTTTTTAAAATGAGTATCTGTTGATAGTTTTTAACTATTTAATAAGCAAAAAAATACCTATACTTTTAATTTTTCATTATTTTTTGATATTCAAACGTAGTGTTGTTAAAAAGCCCGATACGGGGTCATTTATTAAAACGTGTCCATTATGATTATAACCAAAATAATATTGTGTAAGCCTCGTGATTTTGCTCCTAGATTTCAAAAGGTTTGGGCTTATACTTGCCAAATCTTGAGTACGCAATATTATTTTGACTAAGATCTTAATGGGGCTGTTTTTCAAATCGACTCAAATTGGGCTTTTTTTTAACAATACTATTAAAACTTTATTTAAATTAAAAGGTTAAATAATATATTTAAATCCTAGAAACATTAAAAAATTTTATAAATGTCTCCAGGGCCATGGCCAGGAATTTTCAATTAGGTGGGTGGGGGGGCAGCTGTTTACTTAAGGGGGCCACTATTTTTTAAAAATAAAACAAATAATTAAGCATTTATAGAAATTTTTTGCTATTTTTATTAAAAATTTATTAATGTAATATGAATACAATATAATACTATATATACAATTCTTTAAATGCATGATGATATTTTTTTATACATATTATTTGGGATATTTTCAAATTATGTGTTTTATTTTAACTTCTGCAGATGATCCTTTAGTTATTTTCAATATATAATGTAACGTTTCCCATATTTAAGTTTAATAATTATTCTAGTCGGGTCATTTTATCCTATATAAAATAATCAGGGTCAAAGGGGGATAATGTATTAAAACATGATAGAATATTATAGTAATAATTCCCTTTTAAAGAACTCCAATTGGAGTCTTTTCACAACTTAATTGACTGAATCTTGAAAATTTATAGGCGTTTTACGTACCCTTGATGATTTGTGAGTGAGATTGAATTTTGCTTAAAGTTTTCAGCCTTAATTCTAATCAAATCAAAAGAATTATCGCTTCCTTTATTTTTTAATATATTGATAGTAGAATCAATAACTTTTAGCATCCCCTAGATAAGTACCTACCGACTGTAAATACATATTTAGTGAATCTATTGTTATTATATTTCATATATTATAATGGCTAATATAACGTAATTTATATTAACGCATTGGGATAGACCAACTGAAATATGAGTGGAAATCTCTGAATTAAGAGTTCTATTAGAAAAGTAAATTAATACTTCACCAATAGCCTCAAAATTCTCATAAATGATGTGAGTTGCTTCTAATTGTACAGCCTCTGGTCTAAAAGGCTCTCAAGAGTATGGCCTGAATATTTGCAGGATACATTAAAGCGCCTAAAAAATTATATGATGCATTGGCTAAATTAAAAAAAAATAGAAATGATAACAATATTATTATATTTTGATCCACAAGATGCAACATGATAGCAATGTATAAAAGGAACCTTTTTCCTCTTCATTTCGGCCAGGAATAACGTTTGTCCCATCATATTCCTGGCTTATTAAATTCATTGAATTAATATTTAACTCATTAAGTTGCTTTAAAATGCAAGTAATGCTTTTAGCAGAAAGACGAAAAAAATACAGCGGATAATTATACTCAGGTTTTCACAATATAATGCATCTTTTATCTCATAAGCCTTAAGACAAATAAAAGGCATCTCGCTTTTGTTATATTTATCTGAAATATATTCAAGCACTAGATATTACTTCGTTTTGAATCTGGGGTGTTGTATTTTGGGCATTTTTGGGTATTAATTTCTTAATTTAATTTAATTTAGTTCAGGATCTTTTTGGTGTATGATAATATTGCTATAAATAGTCCAGAGGAATAAATTATGTTTTCATCAGTTGCAGCATCCGTAATTTTTGTTGATCTAATCCCACTAATAGGTAGTTCCTGTATGCTAAGAAATAGCATCAAATCAAATATTGATTTAAGATAGTAAAGTAAAAATTATATTATCGCTTTTTGTTTTAAAAAACTTCAATGCACAGTTATAAAAATAAAACAAAACAATGATGAAAACACTATTTTAAAAAATATTAAAATTATAATTGACATACTATATCTATATTCTATATAAAAAATATATAATTAAAAGAAGAGAAATTCATAATTAATTATAGTTTTTATAATTTATTATTTAATTTTGAAATTGAAATTTATATTTTCAATTTATATTAAAATCTAAATCATCTGGTGTAAATTATTTATAAGTCATCGCATATGGATATCCAAATCGATATAAGTGAATCAGACAATTAGATATTAATGAAATGGAAGATAATCTGTAAAAAAAATGTTCTTGATAACAATAAAACAAATTTTTCAATTCCAAAACTTGAAAATATTTTCAAATTAATATAAAACAAAAGGTGGTTGCAAATTTATTTGTTCAAATTGTAAAATGCAGTTCTCAAAAATCACCCAAAGGCAATTGTCATTTTTAAATTCTATTAATATTTTTATTTTGTAAAAATGTTCATGCCAACAGTTTTAAAGTGATAGAAAAACATCTTAATTATTTTGTTATAGGGGAGAATACATTCAAAAAGACTAATTCAATTCAAACTAAATTGATAATAATATTGCACATCCTAATATTTCTCAGAAACTGCTAATAAAGTTATTTCTGATTTTATCATTGATATAGTTCACGTTTAGCTAATGTCATTGGTTGATAATCCATCATTTACCATGATGATTAAAACTCTATCCCCTGATGCAACAATTTTTTGTCCCCAGAAGCTAATGATTGAGATAGCATATAAAGATGCCCTATTTAAAACCATAAAAATGGCTTTCATTCAGTGATCCAAACCGAAATGAATATCGTTCAGATTCAAATAAGAATAACGGTTCAGCTTCGGTTCGAAAAAAAATAAATATATCGGTTCGGTTTGAACCTCTAAAAACATAGGGAAATATATTTTTTTAATTTCAAAAAACACATAAATATAACCTTCATTTCTATTAATTTCACAGTATAAAATATTATTTATTTATAAATATAAAAAATAAATATCAATGATTAATTTTAATATGAACAATTTAACTGTATATACTTAAAAATTAAGTGGCACAATTAATATTGTTAAAAAATATTTTTCCACACTAACTTGGGTAGCCGGCACTGCTAGTATGATATCAGATTTGATGTGTAATAATTTATAATAATATGTAAATAATTTATATATTGGATTTGATTTTTATCTAGTCATTATAATTTATAAGCTTAAAATATTTAAAAAATGTTGTAAAATGGAAGAAAATTAGGAATGTATAATTTAGAGTGTCTTTCTACTGAAAGCATTACTTATTGCATCTTAAAGCAATTTAATGAGTTAAATATTAATTTAACGAATATAACTTTCTGTCAATTTTATTGTTTACTTTTATAAAATAATTAAATTTTTAGATATGGGCCTGGACAAAATTTTTAAACTGATGGGTTAAAATTTTTTTAAATATCAAATATAGTGCATGTCTGGGTCATAATACTTTTTTTACTGCAAGCCTGGCTGGTCTGGATCAAAAAAATTAAGCCCTATGAAATCTCTGATTTAAATAACTGAATTATTTTCTTTCTCACCTGATTTTTATGAATGGCATACATAAAGAATGGGCAAATCACAGATATGCATTATTTTTAAAAAAAGAATTCTGATAATTTGTGGCTTGTTAATTGATAGAAGGTAAGATTTTAATGCTTCATATACATTTCAAGAAATTGTTGGACACATGAATTTTAACTCAAAGAAGGCTTTCTTATTTTTACATTTTTTAAAATATATCATTATACTTTTTATATGATAAATTATATACATTTTTATTATAATTTTTTCTGAAATAAACTTAAATATGATGTTATATTCAAAAATATTTTAAAAAATCATTTAGGCTTTTCTAGTTTTGGCATCTCTTAAATTATGTTTAAAAAAATCAAAAAGATACAAATACATAGACCTGTGCGCAGCCGGCTCACGCCGGAAAAGCCGCTGATTGAGATTACCAGCGCGAGCCGGCTCGCAGTCAATTTATTATGGCGGCGGCGTGGCGAGTGTATATTAATTATATTTATATATTAAATTATTATTATTTTAATTTGAATACTAACATTAATAAAATTAAAATATGAATTGTATTCTATTGCTATATATAAAAGACTAGTGTATATCATTTACATTCCTTCATACACCAATTTTTTTTCCACAAACAATTTATATTAATTATTTTTATGGACTTCCACGTTTTAAACCACCCTATATACAATAATGAAATAACAACTCTCTCTACTAATCATAAATCAAGTTATGTCTGAAGGTACTTTGCAAATCTTATTTTGAAGAATGAAAATAAGAAAAGCATAATAATGCCTGATTATATTTATTGTAAACCTTGTTTAAAATTGGCGAAAAAAAGATGAGGACGATTAGAATAAACAAATTCATTTTTTTAGACTTATATTTATATATATTTTATATTTTAGTTATGAAATAAAATGTTTTAGTAAAAATATAAGTACAAGTAATCTGTCTCGGCACTTAATTAATTATTACAAACTATCGGAAAAAATGAATAATAATATATCCATTCAAAGTCTAAAAAGGTTGTTAAAACCAACACCAAGATGCAGCAACAATATAAAAGATAGAAAATGGCTCTTAGGTTAGTATTATTGTTTATTATTATTCATTTAAAATTTTTAACTGGTTTGTTAAATTAATTTTGTTAAGCTTTTGAAGTGTTTTATTAAATAAGTAAAATAAGTAAAGTAAGTAAAAGTATCTTTAATACAAAATATCACGTATATATATATAATGAATTCAATCCTTCA